GTCCTCTATTTCAATTAGTATCATGCACGTCAATCATGCTTCTAAAGTAACATCGCAACCACTATATATCAGTAAATAACACTCAATAATCAATCAAGCGACGAGACAATACATCTAACACTACATACAAATAACACAGCATGAGAATCAACCAATCACTATATTATGAATTAGAGGTTGTTTTTTTTTTCGCTTTTTTTCTTTTTTGAAAAAAAAAACAACAAACAAAAATGCATGTCTCCCATAGATAAATAGAACATTTTTGTCTTTGCTGCAACATGTTACATACAGCAAACATTAATTTTCTCCTAGCTGATTTAAACAAGACATATCTAATTATCTATGCTTTTTTGCGCATTAAAACAATCCAGCTTTCCTGGTACTTTTTGACAGTTTTAAATGATTTTCTAAGACACACATTAACGCCTCCTTCTCTTCGTTGCTCCAAGTGTATTTATCTGAAATATATTAAAACAAACCTCTGGTACATTTGATAACCTTTATAAATTAGTGATGTACTTGTTTGATTCTAAAATGCTAAAAAGTGAAGGAAGTCTTAAAACTGAAAGTTAATATCCTTTCCCACAGAAATTCGAACATTAAAAGTAACAATTTTTAATTGATTAAACAAACAACAAAGAATTAAATTCTTTCAAAAACGTTGGTGGAGATGCTACTGGCATATCTTTGCCAGAAGAACTACGCAATATCAAAAAGTATTCATGCTCTAATATAAATAGTACCAGTGAAAGTAATGTTTATCATTTTAAGATTTAGGTTATTGCATAAACCAATGGTGGAGTTGGACACACATTGTTTCAATCATATTATACATGTATATAATGAAGAAAATAAACAAAGCCCCACAATTCTAGTAAAAATGGTCGAAGCCTAACTTCTCTGCTTTATGGCCCTCCATATAAAGGCTTTTGACTATACATTCTCAGTAAAATCTTAAATGCATAAAGTTCGGTATATAATAATATTGAATAATAAAATTGTTGAGACATTTGATCAGAGTAATCTGAAAAGAATTTTAGAAAGACCTTTGACATTAAAAATGACGCAATTTTATACTTTTTATATGTATGCATGTCTATCTACAAATCTTCACAGTTATTCGAAAAAAATCGTGACATAGTTAATACAGGATTGAATCTTTATTATTCATTGAATAATATAATCAATGTTAAGAAACAATCATATTGTTCACTTTCAAGAGCTATGTGTCATGAACAATGATACACATTTAAAACAAACTAGCCATAATTTGTTGCATGCATGCAAATTTGATTTCAAACTAGAACGGAGTCTAAAGGACATGGATGCCCCCACAAACAAGAGCACTAACATTTATTTTTGTTTAGGCAAAGACCATAACTTTAGCATCACAGTTCAGTTCTGATATTAAGAATAAAGCCAACTTGCTTAACTTCACTTACCAATGAACTTTTCTTTCAAATTTGGTGACTCCATTTCACATAGTTAAGGAGCAACAAATACTACAAGAACATCTCTTTTTTGTATATTATACTAAAATCAATCCTCATAACTCAGGCATTACGGGGATTTTTCAATATATAAAGAGACAGTGTTCATATCATTTATTTGATACATCCAACGGTTATATTCAATACAAAAAAACAAAGTTCATTCATTTCTGAATACAATCTGATCATATTAAAGAAATCCATAAAACATTTTAAAAGTTACAGAATTTATAAGACAGTCAGGTTTGCACTATCGCCCCGCACAAAAATATGTCGCTACGTCAGCGACGTCGTTCGCGCAGTTAAATGCGTCATGTTATACTTAAAATACATGTACTGTGTTGTATTAAAAAGGTTTATCACGGAATGTAAAATGTATAGGGTTTACGTGACCGTTCTTTTAGGTTTTTATTTGAGAATTTTCACATTGATATAAATGCGTAATAGTATTGTTATATCACCAAAGATTAAAGATTATTGTTCCGGAGACATAACTGAAAACTTTATCATTTGATATTTTGCATTGCTTAATCCCGCCCGTCTGTCATAAATATGGATCTTTACATAACCAAAAAGTGATATTACCAAGCTCTCTAAATTACCGGTCCAATGAAGTGTACAGTGTAGTGGTATAGTAATCATATATTAAGAAAACTCATTACCGCCTGGGCGGGGTCAATTCTAACCCCTTTACCCTAATTTGAACTATTTAGATAGTGGTCTTCAAGTCAGTTGCTTGTGTAAAATATTCAAGCTGTACGCCTTTTAGTTCTAGAGAAGATATAATGTTTAAAACATAATTCTAATAATTACTTTTGGTCGCCCTTTTGTTAAAAAACAAATTCCTTAAACAACTTTTGAATTTCTGTTTCTAAAGGTATCATCCTTGTAAGTTTAGTTAAAACTGGATGCACCTAATTTTTAGAGTTCATGGTTTGTCTTTCTTTAGGACATTGAGTACCTTTGTTATTGTCATTTGGTTTACTTTTATATGTTTTTACATTATCATTTTGGTGTTTTACTTATTTAACCTTTTGTCACCATAACAACTGTTAGAATTTTACTTGACGAGATTCATTTTATTTAAACTGTCTCATTTAGAGGAACATGGTTTGAATGATTTAAGAGTGAGGTTTGTTGCACCATTAACCGGTTAAAACCCCTCAGTAGTACTTGTGCTGCTTACCGTTCCAAGGCGGCGCCACTCTGTGTTCCTCAAATGTATGTCTATGTTGTTTTATGCAGTTTCGGTGTCACTTTTGCTTGTGTCCCTTATTGTTTCATGGTCTACGATAAGTATCTTCCCGTTTGCCCCTAATTTTATTTCTTTAACCCCCCCCCCCTTTCCCTAGGTCTCTTGTCCCCTTCCCCTGTGCCCTCTGACTTTGTGGGCCTATTATCCAATCATTTATTTCTTTTCTTTGAATTTCATATCAGTTAGAAATCATATATCATTTTAGTGATTAGCATGTCCGTGCTCTGCCTTGTGCCCTGTCCTGTGTTTCTGGGGGGTCCGTCTTGGCTCCTTGCTCCTTATACTGCACAACAACAGGTGTCAAGTGTTATGTGGCAGCTGTAAAAAGTTGCTCCGTACTTCACTTCAATGTTTTTATATATTTCTGGTCCTTCGGGATCATTGATGCCAGCACTATTCAGTGTTGAGTACAGCTCAGGTGCTCTGGGGCGTGAGGAATGCTGCACTTATTCTTTTTTCCCCTACAGACTCAATCAAATCGAGCCAACAAATATCATGTAATTTATTTGTAATTAATGCTTCCGAGGGATAATTTTGTTTCCAGATTTTTATACTTCACAACAGCAGGTGTCAAATGTTGTGTGACAGCTATAAAAAGTTGCCCGTTTTTCTGGTTCTTCGGGATGATTGATGCCAGCACTATTTAGTGTTGACAATTGCGTACCGGTGATAGGGGGTGTGAGGGATGTTGTACTTATTCTTTATCCCTCATGTACAGACTCAATAAAACTGAGTCTACAATTTTTATGTTATTTTGTTGTGATAAATGCTCCCGAGGGATCACTTTTTTCCAGATTTTTAAAATCAATGGCATTGCATAAAAGGTCTCCCTAAAACCGTATACTGGTCAAGATTAAACTTTTGGTTGTTTTCTAGTAAGCGGTCGCTATAAATCAAATGCTTCATTTTGTTTTGTTATTATTTTACATTGTTCGTTTTTATTCATTTTGTTAACCTGTTTGTTGTTTTACTGAGTTATTTGCTACTGGTTCTGTATTTGTAATGCGTTCATATAATATGATGCCATTCCTTGTTGACCTTGTTAGTCATATTTTGGCACTAACTCATTTGTCAAAATATAAACAAAACCAGGATATACTACTTTAAACATTGTAACAAAATATATAATTCCTAAAACTTTAAAACAAAACTTCTTTATTATATAGCCATAATTATGCCCCTAGCATCGATTACGCGGTTCTTAATTTCGGCGGCCTTTTTGTAAAATTTAGATTAACGGGGTTAAAATACTTAAAGCTCTTATACACTTTTTTAGAGAGGTCTTCAACAAATCCATAATGCTAGCTTCAGAGCTGAAAATATGCCACTTCGAAACAAATATACAGAAGAAAATTCAAAGTTTGCTTGTTTGATTGGATTTTACTTCGTCACATGAACACAGTATCGTAAATATGGCTACGTTCTAGCTTTATTGGTGCGTTCTTAAAGCTAGCTATATAACTTCTAAGTATGAAAGAATACAAAGTCCCTGTCAAAAATCTAAGACACTGCGGTGAAGTCAACAACATTAAACACTCGGACGCCCTCGTAAATTCAAAGTATCATACTCAGAAAAAAATATATTATTATAATATTTTAATATCTTTACAATATTTAAGAATATGACTAGAGAATTTCCACTTTCTATCAACTTATGTCAAAAACCTCACAAAGTCGCATACATGATAAATTAATTATCTTGTGAACACGATGTCCATTTCCAAAAAAAAATGTTTAATTGCAATTGTGGATTTATCGTTTCTTATTCGAATGTACTTTAATTACTTAACACAAAGTCACTAATGGGCCTATTGCCTATTGTATAAATATTATATTATTTTAATAAAAAAGGTATGAAGCAAACTATTCTTCCTAAAAATATGTAATGTACTACGATGTGTTCTATTTTCTAACAACACTTAAGCATTAAATCTCATTCGCACCAAAATAAAATGAAAAAAAACGAAACCTTTTTTTTCAGAAGTTCACAGGTATATCAAAACATTATCTATGAAATAATGTCAACTTTTAATTCACAAAAGTGGTACTTAAAAAAGAAAGGAAAATATGTTTATTCATAGATAATTTTGTAATATTTACTTTTTAAATAAACGGTAACAGCAAATGTGTCCTCTAATACACATGTTTTCCATTTTCTAGAATTACCAATATAATTCTTTTTAAACCTATTTTGTTTGCCTTTAACCTTCATAGAGACAACTGTATCAAATTTAAATGCTATAAAAAACAAAATAAAATAAAAAATGACCGTCAAGGCAATCATTTAAACAAATTTAATTGATAGAAGGTTAAAAAATGCTACGTATTTCTTTATTTACGTTTATTTATAGATAATTGTGTAATATTTACTTAAATAAACGGTTACAGCAAAAGTGTCCTCTAATATACATGTTTTTCATTTTCTAAAATTACCAATATAATTCTTTTAAAACCTACTTTTATTAGCCTTTAACCTTCATAGAGCCAACTGTATCAAATTTTAATACTGTGAAGAACAAAATAAAAAATGAACGTCATGGCAATCATTTAAACAAATTTAATTGGTAGAAGGTTTAAAAATGCTACGTATTTCTTAATTAACATGGAAGCAAAGTTCTTTTTGATTTTTTAACTTTTTATATTATTAATACTGTGAAGAACAAAATAAAAAATGACCGTCATGGCAATCATTTAAACAAATTTAATTGGTAGAAGGTTTAAAAATGCTACGTATTTCTTAATTTACATGGAAGCAAAGTTCTTTTTGATTTTTTAACTTTTTATATTATTGTTGCCCTTTCACCTTCAGACTTGTAAATATGTTTTCCTAACGAAATGTCTTTTACATGCATAATTTGAAGTCAAATTGCCTTATAAAGTCATGATTTATCATCTATTGGTAAATGATAAGAATTTAGAACGTCGGTTAATTTCCGTTCAGTGCCTATGGTTATTTTCACCATATCAATAACTTTATTTACAATTCTCCTCAGTTTATTATTGTAAATGTAATCATTTGTCAGCCATTTTGGTATGATTCTTTTAAATCTTCTATTCTTATTACTGGACAAGCAGTACAAAGAGTTATATGTTACTGAAAAGTTTAGAAACGTCATCAAGTGAGAAGTTTCAAGAACTGTGTTTTCAAACAGTTTCTCATATACAAGAACATAAGCCGGTATATTCGTATTTTGTATCCAATAAAGTGCCATATCTTTCCATCTATAAGCCTCCCTTGAAACAAATGATGTCCAAGCTGAAATTAAAAAGAACAATCTGTGTCAAAACAATGTCATAAACAAAAGATATTGAGCTTTCTAACCCTAACCCTAAAAATATATAGCTTCCCTTTTGAAGATAACTTATTTTTTTAAAGAATGAAATTTTCTGCATTATTTTAATGAATCTAATTACATAACTTTTAAATGTTAATGGATTATAGAACAAGTGCTGATCACATTTACAAATGTGGAACGCCTTTAGAAGCTGTTCTGCACAAGGAAGACTTTTTTACAAAGCTGATATTGTAAAACTCAGCTTTGCTAACTATTTCTGAAATAACATGTCATAATCTAGGATTATTTTTTGCAAAACTTTCATTTTTTTATAAATTTACTCATGAGCAAACTGATTTTGAGTATTGTTTATTTTCGAAAGTAAGACAGCAACCATTAAAACACATTATAGAATTCCTTGAAAGCTTATATACTTATTTGTTTTAGATTACCTTCGCTTTGTAAAGGATAGAGCACATCAAAAGCAGGTAATGAAATGTTCGAGAACAGAAAATAATATTTATCATATCTTAGACATAATGTTCATAATGAATTGTTAAGACCATCATAAACAATTATTATCAAGCGATGGTATGACACTGCACTTTTTGATATTGGATTTAATCATCATTTGCTATGGAACCTTGCCATTGCTGATAAACGCAGAAAAGTCTTTGAAATGCATCGTTAGTTCAAATTATTCCTACACACCTAAGACTTTCAGGACTTGAATCTTTAGCCCAGGATGCGCTACAAAAATATATATAAATGAAGTTCTACCATTTTCTCCAAATAAAAACTTTCTTCAAAACTTTTAAAAGCTGTGAAAATGTCAAAAAAGGAACAAAAATATTATGGAGTGGTCAGAAGGAAAGAAACTAACAGTCACAACTTTGTTATTAACAATTTCAGCAGTTTTATTTTTTTTGCTACTGGTTTGTGATTTTAATGACCTGGATAGACAGACTATGTGAATAAAAACGATGTGGAATCACAATTTTGATAGCTCTTTGCGAAAGAAAAAAATCAAAAAGAAAAAATACAAAACAATACATAATAAGCAATTATAAAAATGCAATCACTAAAAAAGTCCTTAACTGGTTAAAACACAAGCAACACTCTAACAGGCTACGTTTATGACATTAGGGACGACATTAATGAACTTAAATATTTTGAGTTTTAAGTTTGTATAATAGTAATGTGTTAAGCTTCCCTGCCTAAAAAGGAAATTATGTTTATACAACAGATATTTTAATTTTAATTTTCTTCGGATACACATGTGTAACTTATGCATTTTTTACTATCTTATGTTAATCTGTTGGAAAAAAATCCAAGTTCTTTAAAAGTGATCAAAGGAAACAGTTTTTACGGACGGACAGAAAGACTGACTTATTGAAATACATAGGGTATATGATTAAACATCCCTGGTGGTAAGCAGAATATAACATTTGAAAACAGAAAAAAGAAGATTGGTCGTAAAATAATTATGCTACCTTAATGAACATTGCTATACATCTCGTAAGTGGCCAAAAAGATGAATTATCTAAACTTGCAAATTGAAACCGATTAATAGTAACAAAAATATGTTTTTCAAGTTTGAAGCAGATATATTAAGAAATGGAGAAGTTATATAAAATACAATGTATTAACATTTCTTCATGAAAATTCTAAGTTCAAGCGTAGTTATAATGACAATTGTGTTGCTAAAATTATGAACCATGTCACATATGATGTGGTTGATTAAAAAAAACATACTTTTAAAACAATTGTGAAAAAATTCACTAAATAAAAACTATAATCAAAAATATGTACGTAAATGCCGCGCTGGGTAAGAAGAACAGTTCTCATTATATTATCTACAGTCATACATAAAATAGTGTGCATAACCTCAATACTGACATCTATCATATTTCAAGTTTCAATACAAAATATGTTCAGTACAATTTGATTTATCATAATATTACTAAATTTACTATATTTGAATAGCAATAAACTTTTTTACATAAGCAGAGAAAGAAGATGAGAAAATGTCCAGATTTTAATTTTCCCATAAATTAGGTTTTACAAAATTATTTTCAGTGCGTGTTGCCTAGTTACGGGACGGTCAGACGTCCGGACGGACGAACGGACTGTCAATGCAGGACAGACGGACGGCAGTTAAACCTGAAATACACTCCAGTTAAACCGGTAGGGGACTAATACAGCTTTTCAGTAATGTTTATTAGCAATGACAATGTTATGTAGTAAATGATAATATTTTATATTGAACAGTACATTGTCATTCAAAGTTATATTTCAAAGAATTCTATAACTTTAATTTTCTTAATTGTCTCATATGTAAATATATAAGGTTTTATTTAAGTTTTTTTTTGCAAATTCAAACTATATATTTCATTCTTAAATATCAATGTAGTGTTGACATGACTGTCTTAACACACGTTTCGTCTTTTGTGCATATTTGTGTGCTGATGATTAATTTTCATTCCTAAAGAAAAATATACATGTCGAATTAAATGAATCTTTAAGTTGTGTTTTTTTTACGTTATAAACAATTCAATATAACTATGAAATATAAAAATGTCCGTCAGTTGTCAGCTTAATATTCCCTTTCATGATTAGAAAATACGTTAAAATCGTTCGACTGTTTGCATCACGTTTTGAATCTGACAATACATTTCAGACTATGATATAGAGGATATTGAATGAGTGTAAGTTCAATACTGAATTTATTGCACGAGTTGAATAAAATTATATTATGCGAGACTCTGGCTAGCATAATATTATCTTATTTAACGAGTTTAATAAATTCAGTAATGATCTTAAACGAATTTAATATTCTATTTATCATACACCCCAAAGAAAAGACCGTTTAAAGTAAAAAAGTCATTTTTCACCGACGTGCCTATGGTATAACACTTACATTAAGCAAGTCTTAACACTTTGTTTGTACAACGCTTATGACGTCACGTCAAAATATATGCACCGCCGTGCAATGCATTTTTACGGAGTCGCAAAATCGTGTGTGATAAAACTAAATTTTACTGGTTAGGTTAGACGAGATAAATTAAAAGTCATATATTAAAAAGGTTATAACAGCAATATCATTATGCTATTTATTCAGACTGCGTAATTTATTCATTTGATTTATAAAGTTGAATAATTAAGATAATAATTATTTCAAAAAATAATTTTTCGACAAATGAATAGTTTTACATATGATTTAAAAATAAAAGAAAAACATGAGCACATACTTGTTGTTCTAAATATTTCTTCAGGTGCAATACCTTGTCCGGCGTTGAAATGTGTATCTTTAGTTTTGTCTACTACTCCATGTTGCCTATTGAATTCTGCAGCAAAAGCGTTATAAGGATTTCTTAGAATACATATGGCACTAGAGAAATTAAGCTGTGAAATAGCCATTTTTGCACAGTCGGGATGACCAATTGAACTGTTACTTTTTAAATGCGTTTTCACAATGAATATCTTTCTTCGCATTGGACACTCCTTTGACCCGACAAAATTCCAATCAGTATATATACTGCCCGTATAGTATCCTTGAAAATGACAAATAAGAACAGTAGAATATTATTCAATGTAAATCCATTATGTTATAATTTGCAAAAAAAATAGAGATATAAGACAGAAGAGTTTAAAGCATATATCTTATCATGCAATATATTACGTGAATGAAAAGATAATCATTGAAATATTCTTTTTACTAAATCAATGCATACTGTCACAAAATCTTAACACTTTACAAAACAAAAATTTACAAGCAACAACAAGAAGAACAACATATAACAGTATCCGACTTACTGAGCTTTCATGTTCATGAGTTATAAATATTTTGTCCAAGCAACACTTTTAAAATAACTTTAAAAATGGTTTTAAACGGAAATATATATAATTTTATTAAGACACTGGATGATATCATATTAAGATTTGATAAGGCATTACGATAAAAATTTACCTTGCTTAAATTTGATAATAATATATATTTATGATTGCCACACAGCCTCTTTGTTTCTTCAAGAGAAACCCGTTTTGACATTAAACAAGGTAACTATGCTTTATTAAAAAGTCTAAATACTATAAATGGTCGAAAATATAAATACACATTGTCATTAAAAATAGCATTATTTTTTAAGAAAAGGCCAATTGTAATTGACCTGTGATAAGGAAAGCAGCTTCTTATACATAGTTTATTCATTATTTTATCCCATTAAGAGATATTCAGTAACAATTCTATAAACCTCTGTAATAAAACAATGACGGAATCTTTATCGAAGCAATGCTACATTCCAAAAAGGTAAGGTGTGTGTATCGTAGTTTTACAGAGACAAACATTCAAAATCTGAACTTTGAATAATTTAACTTGTTAGTTAAGTAAAGCATGTTGTTATATATGTGTTTTGTAACCCAATAAATCACTAAATGAAATAGTTGTTCCATATATCATAAAGCAAAAGGACCCCAAAGTATAAAATTATTTTTCATTTCAGGCAACATGTCATTTGTCCAAATATCTATCATCTTTGTAAATAAATTATTAAGGTTTACATTATGCAAATCAATTGTCACATTTTGTCATTGAGAGTCAAGGAAAAGTAAAGATCGGGGTAAACTTAAATTACGTCATATGACGGTTGTGTCAAACGTGTTGCAACATGAATCTACATAAATAGGAATAAAGATCAACAAGGTAAGGTGACGTTCAAGGAACACGAAGCCTCCGACGACACAATCCCGTCACAACAACAGGTTATCAAGAAGGCACCGAACTTAACATGAGAGGAGATGAGACAAGGGCGATGAAAGTAGGGGAAGGATATGTTATAAGTATAAATGGTAAGTACTGAAAGAGGCCGGTATGGTATTAAAAAACAAGGGGTGTAAGAAAAGAAAAAATATTGGGGAAGAATAGCAATAAGCGGGACAGGAGGGAAATGGCAGGATAATTATTTCCGCCAAAGACAGCAAAATAGACACCACAAAACGTGCACACATTTAAAACAAAAAACAAACAAGTTCTATGACTTGACTTTCAATGTCGTGACCATTTACAAGTCTATGGCATGCCTGAATTGATCATCTTGATAAATACACGATTATTAGTAGCTTGAGTAGGCATTTATCACAACAGCAAAATTATTGTAAGTAAGTATTATCAGAAAAAGCAATTAATTGTCACAAAGATTAAGAACATGTAGAGATTTTGTTAAAATTTACTTAGATCTTATTGAAGTTATTCATATTATAATATATAATAAATGAAAAAATCATAAAAGCAACCACCGAATACTACAAACGGGCAAACATTTATGATATGATCTTTCAGGTGAAGATCCTAGGTAATTGTTCTTGAAATAACTCGATATAAAAAGTCTATGGTATGTGTATTTTGTTAAGGAAAAAATCATACCAATCCATAAATGATAAAAAGCTAATTTTACTAAGTTCCTTTATTAAGAAAAGGTCATGTTCAGCTTAAATGGTAAAAAATGTTGTGTTTTTGTTTTGTTCTTTTTTTTTTGTCTTTTTTTTTTTTTCGTTTTTCAAAGTCAGTTACAACTTTCACCAGATTAAGGCAAACTATTTGTGCATAGTCCATTTATTGGTCAAAGTCAACTTCCTTACCATATGTGAAAGTAAATGTTGTGGTATTATTTCCGTCAAGTTTATTAAAATATATTGAGCAGTTTATTAAATGAAGCGGACTTAGATGGTAAGACAACCAGATGGTCAGAAATTACCGTTCGCGATGAGTATAAAAGAATACTCGTACTATAAAAACCACATATATATGAGGGGTGTTCTAATAATACCAGGGATGAAACTTTTTGATAATTAAATTTTTATATGTATACCAATTACTGTAAAAACGTAAAATTGGGCGACTTATTATGTCGTTTCCAGTAGTGTATATTTTGATAGTTCTATGTCATCCTGACCTCTGACCATTGACCTCTTCATCACTGACTGTAGTCTGATTAATCATCTAACCACTCAAACATTTACCAAACGCCTTTATTGTATCACTACTGCGATTTTAACGCATTTACCACCATTCAATAAACGTTATACATTGCTAAATTACTAAATGATAAATTATATCACGTATATCGTTATTTTTCAGGCAAAAAGCAACTTACATTCTCTTAAACAATTTTTCACATTGTAAAAATCATGTTTACTCATTTTAAACAATTAAAAATGATCTATTCTGAGGCAGAAATAGCATTTTATTCATGTATGTTTTTATTGATTATTTTCATGTTCCTATTCAGATTTCTTTTCAAAATTTATGTAAAACTTAATCCGACTTCATTATAGTTGATTTCCTCCCAAACCATATATTTTTACATGATCAATATTACTTTAAGTTGAGAAAAATTAATTATAGGTTGACCTCTTCTAAATTAAATCTGCTATACACAGTCATAGTTGTTATCACTAAAATGGCCATGTACTAGAAAAAAATCAATTAGATTTCAATTAATAGTTATTGTTTCTATAACGTTAGTTATATTAGTTGTCATAGATCCGCATTTGATTGATTATAAAAGTGAAACTATCATTTCATTGTAGCTTGACTATATTTGAATGTGGATGAAAATAATATTTAATAACTTAAAAAAATATCAACATAAATAGATTCTGTCGTATGTAATTTTGCTTCTTAAGGAGAAGCAAGTAAATAACTGCATACATTGTGTTAAAATGTAACAAATTAAAAAATTTAACTGAACTTAATTTTAACATGGTATGGTGACGTAATGATACAATAACGTCATGAAGAAAATTGCATGACGTTACATGTCAAAACAAGTACAAGTGGCTTAGAATCATTAAAGGGCATGAAATGAATAAACCTTTTGTTTGTTATGCATGTAATATTGAAATGAATTTCACTCGTAGAGACCACCAATTATATTTACACTCATGGCTACGCCACTCGTAAAAATATTGCACCTGGTGTCAACTCAGTGAAATATATTTTGATCTTACATGCAAAACAAACAAATATCCTTTGTATTCTTTTTTGATATTGAAATCACAGCTTCAGATTTTGTGGCGTATTTTAAAAAACACCCTAAGTATGTTAAGGAAAATGAATGCGGAATAATAATTCAGATGGTTCTGGCCTTATACACATTAGATGTGTCATAATAATAACTGTTATTTTGATCCATTTTGGCGTTCTTCCGTTTGATATTACATAATGTTCCAATTTATGATATTATGAATAAATATCCACATGTAAATGATCAAAGACAAATGAAGATACCAACCTAGATTATTTAAAATTATAACTATTATAAACAAATAACAAACAAAATATTTTTTAAGTTTTAAAAAATTCTCAGAATTCTAGGTCGGTTTCAATCTGTGAAAAATTTGATATTGTTCAGTTTGGACACGATTAATCAGTAGGCAAGAGTTCAGTGTTCAAGAGATTATTGACTAGAGGGCAAAGCAATAAAATCGAAGATGTTATACCATTTTCGTCTTTTATTAAGGTGAAAGTTTTATGTGTTCAATTAGTCTATAGTCAAATGGTCAGTGGTCTAGAAGTCAGTGTAAAGAATGTAAAATATGATAAACAAGACCAACAAGGAAAGGCGGCGTTCAATGAACGCAACCCCCATATGACCCAGCAACAAGAACCAGTGGCAAGGAACCCAGGTGGACCCCAAACAAAAACAGGACAGGACAAAGACAGAGCACGGACAGGTTAATCACTAAATGATAAATAATTTGTTACTGATTAGGAATTCAAAGAAAACAAATAAATGATTGAATAATAGGCCCACAAAGGGGAAGGGGACAGGAGACCGGGGGAAGGGGCAATAGGAAAGATACATACCGTAGACGAGAAAACAAGGGACACAAGCAAAAGTGTCACCAAAACTGTATCGTCACAAAACCCTCATGATATATACTACTTTATTTTTACTCATAATACCGTTTTTCAGTGTTACATTAGATCATCTATGCTTAGGTTAATAGGCTTATTTAGCTCAAATAAAATCAAATCTAAAACAGGCTTTTTTCCCTAGATTTGGATAATTTCTTTTATAATAGAGCTATAAATTATATTTAACAAATGATAATTGACTTATCTATTTAAAAACAAGATATTTGAATTCAAATAAATATAATCATTGTTGAGATTTTCAGAAACAATTTTACACTCAGTGATTTCTCTGTTTTTAAAAGAACAAAAAAAAAGAAATAGAAATTATCTGCTTCCGGCAAACAGTTTATTTATTATAAACAGTTTATTTATTTTCATTGTTAAGCATAATCTAGACTTTTAAAGTATAAATAAAGTAAAAATCTAACTATCATCATTTTAGAAGCATTTTAGAAATTGCAAAAATCAATATTCTAAAATCTTGGCTGAAAGATAAAGTTTAAGATTATCGTATAATTGATATGCATACGATACAAATATTTAGAATTGTTTTATGCGTACATAATTGACATATCTAAATGAAATATGTCTTAGAATGTTGTCGCCTACTGTACAATTATGTTTATTCTCTACATACAAGTGTCGTCGATAAATGTATATATTCCAAAAACAAAAGAACGAACTATTGTTCTTTATTGTTTGTAAATAAATATTTATGCATATTTCAAATCATTTTTTAATAAAAGCATATTCTTACCTGTTGCTGTTTCTATTAACTGACGTGTCCATGTGTTTCCTGATCCTGGGTAGCTTGCAAGGGCGACAAGTGGTCTCGAAGTATTCAGAAATTCAGGTGATTGATTGCAAATAAATGTTTTCATCTTTTCCCTTAAAAAGCTATTCTGGTTCACTGAATTATTCGAACAAAGTCGAAGCAATGCTTTAAGTGAACTTTCTTCGACGATTTTATATTGACTATTATGTATTGCCTGACTACAACCTTCACGTGTTATGATATTAGATCTACTGAGGTATAAATTATAAATGACTATAACACAAGTTATTATGAGAAGAAGTTGTAAATATTTATGTTTTCTCATAACGATTCTAGTCACTTAAAGAAAACGATGGTTTATTTTGATGTGCTGAAAATGCCCGTGTTTGATCACTGAAAAAGTAGAGGTAATAATTGGAAAGTAAAGTGAATACATGTTTTGATTTAAGCATGTAAGTTTCAGCATAAACCGATAAAATAGTACGACATAGAGAGAGAGATACTCTTTAAGATATTTTGAATAAATTGCATAGGGTCAAAATCAATTAGTTAATATGAACTCAATTAGAAGTATAGTTATATGAGTCTTCTTGTGTGTAACATGTTAGACAGCCTTAATATTGAGTATGTTTCTTTTGAAGCGTACCTTTGCAAATATTTCATAAATAATGATTGCATCCGATGAAATGAAATTGTCGCTTCTAATTAATCTTATCTTACTTCTGTATTTAAGAAATATTGCCCATTTCCAATGGTCTTAGGATAGTGATCTAGGGGTCATTATTTCTCTCGTTTAAGGGGTGAAGTGAAATATGTGTATATGTTTAAAATACAGTTAGCCTATATATGTCAACGGGTGAGAAAAAATGTGCAGCCTAAATGGGACTTGAACCTGGGACTTTCGGAATACCGTACCGCGGCTCTACCGGCCGCTTACACTTTATCTCCTAATAAGTGAACAGGTCTGAACCATGACATGTAAATGTATGTTAATATAAATATTTCACTACACATTGAATACGCATATTCATTATTGCCTGAAACAATCCACGAGAACGTATGTTTTCTTACAATAGATGTAAACTTATTTAATCCAATTGATATCCATTTGAATGAAGCACATTTTATTCTTTCCTTCCTCGGAAGAACAACAAATAAACATGGAGGTTGTCTTATATAAACTCACTTTTTCTTCCGCTATATTATGTATATATCATAATTATGTATATAACATAATTCAATTCGGACGGTATAACGTTTCGTCTTCTAGTCATGTAAGTTTCAATAATTAAAACAATCGATTTTTCAAATTTTTGCTTAAAATAAATAATATCATCCCCATTTAACGTTTATTTTGGGACTTATTTTTTCAGCTCAAGACATTCTTTATGAGAAATTCGTCTATAATTGTGGGGAAAACAGATTTTAATATTCAAGGTTATATTGAAGAAATGTCATTTGAACTTGTGTTAAGGTATAAAATGTAGAGAAAAGTTGTTTGTATGTTGTGTAAACTGTAATTTTATTTCATCACGCGAACTTTAGAAAACAATATTCTTACCTGTGACGTATCCATACAAATATTTCTATCTCTTGAATACACCCTGTCTAGATGTTTTATTCTGTGCCAAACTATTTCCAATTTATAACAATGATATGATAGTAAATATATCTTTGAATCATAATGTTACAAAAAAAGGAAACATAGAATCCCTAAAGAACACCCAACACAACAAGATTGAAAAAGTTCCAGGATCGATTTGATTAAGCCTTTTCATGGACGGGACTGATAAGTGCAAGTTGCCGTCCACGCCCCTAGTACCGGCTTAAGCAGAATTCAATATTTAAACACGCAAATAATGACATTTTGAATTTAGAAACATCCGCAGATGTGTGTATACGACGGTTTTAATGGATTTTTCAATGTGACACTTCTGTGCCACTCCATGAAAATTGACGTATGGTGCCCAAAAATTGGAACGTGTGTACTCTAATCGAGAAAACAATGAAGGAAACTTAACACTTAGACATTTTGAAAAGAATTAGCCTTCGGCCAGTTTTCTCATTGCGTTAGCTTTGAAGCATTTTTTTTCTTTCATAATGTATTTGTACAGGTATTGATTCATTCATAAAAAAACACATTTCACTCTTGAACTAATAATATTGTAACAAGTGATGTTATGTTAGCAAATTATATAACTTGTATCAATTTTGAATTTATTGATATTATTTTCATGCTTTTCAGTGGATTACTGATTTATCCGTGAAAACTGTATTTGATTATTTCACCGTGAAAACTATCAAAATATAATTTCACATTTTTCAATGATGAGACTACTTTTTTTTAAAGATTTTCACCATGTGATACTTCAATTTTATTGTTGACTATTCTGACAGTGTCAGGGCTGTTTAGAGAAAAGCAATGCTGAAATTGATAAATAACTGAAATTTTAAATAAAAATAAGAAAACTTACTTCAATTCATTCAAATTACCAATCACTAAATGCCGTCTCTAAATTTTCGTTTCCTTTTACAGTTTGAACAAAAAAATCCTTCAAACTGCAAAAAAAAACTGCTCTTGATGACATTTGGGCATATTTAAGTATCCTACGAGCAATAACTGCCTAATAACTTCAAAAGCAATGACAGGAGTCAGCCCAAAAAATAAGTAAACAATCCAGCGTTTGTAAGGCACCCTGTCAAAAAATCTATGTTTTCCAATTTTCTAGCCGCTTTTTTGATGTTTATACATCAGTCAACACTTATTTATAGTCTGTAACAATCCCCAAATCCGTTTTCTTTCTTCTAAAAAGATATTTGACTAACAAAACCAAATGATATTACTGTGAATCAAACACAATTGTTTTCTTCCCGTGGAATACACAACTTTTAAAAATGGCGGCCGCTAACATTTCACAGAGCCAGGTCTAATATAAATTCGCCGTTAGCAACAGAAATAAGGAAAGATGGTTTGACTTCTTCTCCTAGACAAGAATTGTTTGTTTCATTATTAAACAACTTTTATTATTTGAATAAAATGAATAATATCATCGCCATTTCACGTTGAATGTTGAACTTATTTCCAGCCCAAGACTTCTTGTATTTTATGAGAAATTCGACTAAATGAGGCTACCAGTGGAGAAAACGGTTTTTATTTTAAAGTTAATATTAAAAAAAAAAATCATTTGAACTTGTTGTTTAGCATGAAATAAAAAGAAAATGTGTTTGTTGTGTAAACTCGTGACTACCCAACTCAAGAGAATGCTGCTTTTAAAGCTCACTCGATGAAATAAGATTTCATCTTACAGACAAACAAACAAATATCCTCTATTTAATCACATCCCCTAGACCTAAAGAGAGCCAAAATATCTTAATACAATATAATTCTCTTTTCATGGTAATAATGGAAGGAGAAATAAATGCAATTTACTATTAATTCATAAGTTTCAGGTCAGTACAAAAAAAGACTGAATGAGCGATTATATACGTCAATTGTATATGGCGGTAATTTTCAAAATGGCAGCCATGTAGAATAGCAGGGGGTTTCTTTAAAACTATCTAAACTACAGGGACCTTTTTTCCCGCCCCATTAAATTTTAGAGGTCTTGATGAAAAAAAATATACGCCGTATTTTGTTGAATGTTTAATGGAAATTCGAAAATTAAACTATTACCAAGTATTTAATAAACATAAATAGTCTGATAAATTTTAATTTAATATTGATCTTATCTTGCAAGGCAATCCTGCTTCCATGAAAAAGATATAATTGAGCAATCAATAGTTAAATAGAAAAAAGAAGCCTATACTAATGTGTAATAAGTATTTGCCAATTGCTAAACATTTTGTAAATTTTAAGTTCTGTTATTGTTCTCTTTATGTAACTTTATTATTTAATACCTGAGGTTAACTAAAGTTACTTGTATCGGAAAAATAGCAGCTGAAAACGTTTTCACGGTGGTTATCAATATTTGATTTTATCATCTATACTTTTAGCAAATATTATAAATTATTCATGCGAACTTATCAACAACAACATTGTAATTTGTAACACAAACTTTGATATCCCCTAATAATCATTTGCTATTTTTTATCTTCAACAAACATTGTTTGATATAACTACCTTTCTTGTGTGTCGTGTTCATCATGATACGAATATAAACCAGATATGCCACAGTGTTTGTAATACCACAAATTTTGCCACAAGCTGCTACATACTGCAATAGATCATTATCTTTCAAAGGACACATATGACTTTCAATGTAAAGAAGTAATACCAAAGTAACAAAATGAAAATACAGACATAAAATCTTCGAATTTTGACCTTCAATTGTAACCTTAAATTTCGTCTAATTGACATGTTGAAATGAAAATTAAAGCGACAGATCCTTCTACTGGCAAAAGGTTTATAAAATGATACTTGCTTGACCTTTAAGGGTGATCTTGATCATGAGCCTGCACATTTGGATGCATTGTTTTGAATACTGTTTTTTTATAAGGATAACAATTAAGCATAGTTTAGAGTAAAACCTTCAAGGGGTACACCGACCGCTGGAGTTCAAGTTGCACTAAATGATAAGATATCTTATTAATATGATAGAAATCAATTTTAAATTCTAAGTAAAAAATATTTGTTCTAATTTGCTGACTTATGTGATAAAAATATGACTGTTTGAGTGTTTTGCTCTTATACTTTTTTTAGACGATAAAAGTCTGCAACATTATCAGGAAGCATATTTTTCTGGTTATTTTCTTATCAATTAGCATTTTAGACTTAATCTTAGACTGACAATATTTGCATGGTTATGCTTAGCTTTCTTCAATGAAGCATAAATTTAAGAAAATATATACTATAATAATAATAACAAACAATGCCTGCATAAACTTTATCTATGTTGGAGGTAATTTAGCCTTTTCAGAAAAATTGTGGTTAATCACAAACAAAATGTTGCCATCATAATTACTTTGACAACTTTGTAAATTTAGACTTATTGAAAGTATTGGTAAGAGGCAATATTTTTAAACCTGTTTAAACAAGAATTCTTATCTTTATGCAAACAATATTTGAAAATTTGTCAAAATTACGATTTAACGTACCATTGGTAAGATAAAAAAAATCATTTTCAAGGTAGAATTATAATTTTTGATGATAAAAAGCTAAAATGATGTTCTAACATTACCCAACCCTGTTTGATAAAAATGTATATTTTAGATATATGTTCAGGAAAATAATATAAACTTGATTTCAATTCATAACTTCACGGGCATGAGAATACAAATGAACTCAAATTCATCAAAATCAATGTATAATTTAATATATACACTAAATCAATCGATTTATATAGAAAAAGAATGATTTAAAAAATACATTTTACAACTTCATTGTCGGTCACTGAAAGC